GAAATGATTTGTTCTCCGACTTATGCTTTTGCATACAAGTTTAACGCTCCGTTGGTGGGAATGCTGTCATTACCAGATATGTCTACAGCATCTCTGGCCGTGGGGAATCCCGTACATCCTGTTCTTAATCCTGACACATTACTGGGATATGGCAGGAATTTATCTTTCTGGCAAAGGGTGACGTCGACTTATTCGCAGATCCGCTACATTCTACGGTTTGTATTCATTTGTGTCTTTTGTTTGTAGCTGTGTGATATTTTCGGTAAGTAGGCTTCGTCAGGGTTCTTTAACCCTTAACGTTTCCGAACGAAAGTCATCACCACAATTTTTATCTACTAAGCGTTTAGTTATTGTCAAAAAGCTTTACGTTTAGATCTTTAATACTCCAATACTTAAAACAAATTGAGACGCAATTACACATAGTAAAAACCAACCTGTCGACTTATGTTATAAATTTATATTTTTTATAATTCTAATTGAAAGATAGTGGGAGGGGGTTCCTTAGACCTACTTTCAGTATCCAAAATGTTATCTTCTAATCAGAAACTTTAATTAAAGATGGCTAATTCATACTGACCAGTATATTCTTACCTTAAAGTTAAAATTAGCATTTACCTGGTGAAAATTTACAATAAAGAATAATAGAACTCGTAATTTTCACTTTTTATTTTTACGACAATTAAACTTGATATTTTTGCGATGTTATTAACCGTCGTATTGCCATAACTGATATTATCATTGAAGATAGTGGTCACTTTTAATAGGTACAATTTCCATATGTTATACTCAAAGTGCATCCAATTTTAACTCCTGACCTCTTCGTTCCTGATGATGGAATATACTATAGTTGTATTGTAAGCAGATCCAATTTCATTTAAAGCGAACACGGTTGTTGTTGTTAATAATTCGTATGTTTGAAGGAAATTGCAAAATGTGCATTCGTTATCATATTGCATTTTACAGTCTTATCAGCTACGATTTCTAACTCGAAACATTTATACAATATATTCTCACTCAAGTGCTAACCTTAGAAAAGTTAAAATGGTGCGTGTAGTTTTATTGATTAGCGTTATCCTTAAACTTGCCAGTGGTGCTAATATATTGGGAATTTTCGGGAGTCCCTCGATTAGTCATCAACTAGTGTATCAAAAAATATGGAAAGAACTGTCTCTTCGGGGACATCATGTCACCGTCATAACACCAGATCCATTAAAAGATCCAACTTTAACCAATCTAACAGAAATCGATGTAAATTTTACGTATCAATACATCGATCTTTCTCCAATTATCGGAAGAGTAGCTACTCTGGACGAACAGTGGCGTTTTTATTTATTCAAAATTCAACACAATGTTTTCCAAGCCTATGCAAAACTTTCGCAAGTCCAAAAGCTTTTAGGAGATGACGATGGAAACTTTGATATAGTTTTGGCTGAGATGGTTTACCCATTGCCATACGCCTTCTCTTATAAGTACAAGTGTCCATTTGTGGGAATATTATCTTTGGATGCCTTTACTCAAAGTTATTGGGCAGTAGGCAATCCTGTTCATCCAGTTCTATTACCGGATGTTCTTCTCGATGTACGTGATAAATCTTCTTTCTGGGAAAGACTATGGTCTTCGTACAATCAAGTTAGGATGTATTTAAGGTAGGCTTTTGTCAGATTTTTTAATTCCGACTAAAGAAAAAGATGAACTTTAACATCAATATGCCTTTTGCTGTTTGATACAACTACGTATCTTCAGCTCGCCGAGAATTCATAGAATTTCGTAGTTCCTAGCTAAAGGTACGATAAATGGTGATTTGGCAGGTGTTAATATCAGTTTGGAACTTCAAAATTTAATGGACCATGACATTGAACCCGGAAAACAATTTCGATCTAATATTTTAGATTATCCATTTCCAAGAAGTTTACAATTTTTTTTAGACTCTTCAGTTAAAGAATTAGAAGGCATTCATCTAATGTCTCCTTGTTCCCTGTTTAAGCTTCTAATACCTTTAATGGCAAAAGTGAGCATTTTTCATTAATTTTTATATGTAATGTTTGATCGCTGATACTAGNATCAAAAAATATGGAAAGAACTGTCTCTTCGGGGACATCATGTCACCGTCATAACACCAGATCCATTAAAAGATCCAACTTTAACCAATCTAACAGAAATCGATGTAAATTTTACGTATCAATACATCGATCTTTCTCCAATTATCGGAAGAGTAGCTACTCTGGACGAACAGTGGCGTTTTTATTTATTCAAAATTCAACACAATGTTTTCCAAGCCTATGCAAAACTTTCGCAAGTCCAAAAGCTTTTAGGAGATGACGATGGAAACTTTGATATAGTTTTGGCTGAGATGGTTTACCCATTGCCATACGCCTTCTCTTATAAGTACAAGTGTCCATTTGTGGGAATATTATCTTTGGATGCCTTTACTCAAAGTTATTGGGCAGTAGGCAATCCTGTTCATCCAGTTCTATTACCGGATGTTCTTCTCGATGTACGTGATAAATCTTCTTTCTGGGAAAGACTATGGTCTTCGTACAATCAAGTTAGGATGTATTTAAGGTAGGCTTTTGTCAGATTTTTTAATTCCGACTAAAGAAAAAGATGAACTTTAACATCAATATGCCTTTTGCTGTTTGATACAACTACGTATCTTCAGCTCGCCGAGAATTCATAGAATTTCGTAGTTCCTAGCTAAAGGTACGATAAATGGTGATTTGGCAGGTGTTAATATCAGTTTGGAACTTCAAAATTTAATGGACCATGACATTGAACCCGGAAAACAATTTCGATCCAATATTTTAGATTATCCATTTCCAAGGAGTTTAGAATTTTTTGGGCTCTCTTTAGTTAAAGAATTAGAAGGCATTCATCTAATGTCTCCTTGTCCCCTGTTTAAGCTTCTAATACCTTTAATGGCCAAAGTGAGCATTTTTCATTAATTTTTATATGTAATGTTTGATCGCTGATACTAGCAAAACTTTTTACGGCAAAAATGTATTTTGCATTTTTCAAATAGAAAATACATTTGGAAAAGTATTTTAAATAGAATACAGAACGCTTTTCTCAAAAAACTATTTAAATGCATTTTTTATGTTATAAGTATTTCAAATAAATCACATCTCTCATTATATGACCGTATATTTACGAGAATCGTCTTTCGGGCATCTTTTAGGGAAAACAAAGGCAAACCATCTATAGTTATTATTTTAGGGTTCCGTACGTTCGAATGAAACAACAGAACCCTTATAGAATCACTCGTATGTCTGTCTGTCCGTCTGTCACATTCAATTTGTACTTCCACAGATTGATGCACATATTCTGATGGAAATTATCTTGCGAAAACAAAGAAACTTCTATAAAATCCGATTTTTTGAGAGAATAATCCTTATGTCGATTTCGAGTTGGTTTTAATCGAAATGACTTATTCATATTCAGTTGCTCGCGCATTTTTTAGTTAATTCGAGTTTCCAATATTATTTTTTTTTTGGATTTCCTACATTTATGTGTAACAAGAAATTCCAGATTAATTACGAATTTGTATTTGTTTTCAAAACGTCATTCAGGTTTCACGATACCAACAATATCTCAATTTCTTCGAATAGTTTGGATCATATGCTTAGTTAGATGGATGACCCCCATATTTAATTAAGTACAAAAATAGTAACAATATCATTTTTTACACGGCCAATTTGAATCGTTATCAGTAGCTAAGTTTATTTTTACAGTATTTCGCAACAGTTCAGTTTTATTTCAGTCTTAGTTCGGATTAGGTATATATAAGTTGTCAATTAATGAATGTTCGATTAGTTTCTTTAAAAAGATCGTCATGTTCACTTCAGTGGTGACTTTATTCTGTACTGCTTCGAGTTTAGTTAGCGGAGCTAATATTTTGGGGATCTTTAGCACTACGGCTTTAAGCGAACAGGCGATGTTCCAGATGATTTGGAAGGAATTGTCTCGCAGAGGTCATAAGGTCACCGTTATTACGCCGGGTCCACTTCTAGACTATTCGTTAGTAAATTTGACTGACCAGGGTGCTAATTATTCACAGGAAGATGTCGGTTTCAGTCCGATTTTTTCAAGCGATTTGCTACCTGATCAAGCCTGGAAACACTTCTTACTTCACAGTCATAGAAAGGCCTTTGAGACGAGGATGCTTCGTTCAGATGTTCGAGACATTTTTGGGGATGACAGTGTTCAGTTCGATGTTGTTTTGGCTGAGGTGACATTCGCCCCTGTCTACGCATTTTCCTACAAATTTAATTGCCCTATAATTGGTTTATCGTCTTCACCCGAAATGCTTCTTTCATTTGTTGTGCATCCAATTATGATTCGGGAATCGTTTTTTGGATCCGCCGCGAATCTAAACTTCTGGCAGAGGTTATGGTCCACGTACGCCCAAATCAGGCTTACGTTATGGTAGGTTTGTGTCATTATATTTGGCATGTACTGTACTTATAAGATTAAGTGTTGTGTTAACTCTTTTATTGTTTTATTTGGATTATTTTTCCACGTTCTTTGGAAAATGTTATCGTTTTATATTATTATAAACAGAGCTAGCATGTCTAGCGCTCGTGATAATTTCTGATAAGCGTAATCAATTTTTCGGAAAATCGACACCGACCGAAACTCGAAATTTAAAATGTCGAATGCTCGATGAGAATTATCAGTAGTTTGACGAAGAAAGAGTTGGCAAGGTGACGGTTTCTGGTATTATCGTAAGTAAGAGCTAAAGAGGCTTCGCTGTGCGTGACAAAAGACTGTAATTATTAACAGAATCCTGCTTTTATTAAGCCCTGTTCGCCGTTAAATCTTTTACTACCTTTTTTATACAATAGATAATTATGTAATTAAAGAAAAGCCTCTGTCGTATAGAGGGATTAGAAACGTTGAATTTTATTATGGGAAATGGAATGAATTTTATAATATTTTACAAATAAAAGATAAAACTGAATATTTGATTGCCTAATTTTTAATAATTAGCAACTTAATTTAGAGCTAACAAAAGAACAATATCCAAAAGTTTGGATTTGGATTTGATCCAATTTGTTCATATGTTGGATTAACATAATTCGAATTTTAATTCCACGTAAGATTTGTAGTCACAATGATATCATCATTGTAGCGTCTTCATCACGTTTTCACCGAATGTTCGTGACGGTTTTGCATTCAAGACCAAGAAACACAATACAAAATACCTGCTGTCTGAACGTGAGTACAATAGCCCATCACAATTTGCTCGTCATTTACCTACAATATAAATAAACTGTTCAACTCGAACGATAACAACTTAACAACTAATTATGATTAACAAACAACGATGTTGACAACAGCTTTTGTATCTATTATTATGTCGTTCGTACGTTTCCCACAATAAAAATCCACGTACCGGACCATTAAACCACACTGTAGTTTCAGATCGGGACTGGTTAACACCTCCAACACCATGAGCCCGTCCTGGTCGTGATACAGCAGTGTCTTTTTTTCATTATTCTTTTTTTTTATTACCGAAACAATGAAGTGTTTGTTTGTGTTTTGTTTCGTTTTATTTTCCGCGCGAATCGCGGTTGGCGTGAACATTTTGGCGGTGTTTTTCACGCCTTTGGACAGTTACCAGAAAGTGTTCAGGCCGTTGTGGGTTGAACTATCCCTTAGAGGTCACAATGTGACCGTCATAACAACCGATCCCGTTAAAAACGAGTCTTTGGTGAACTTGACCGAAATCGATGTGAGCTATTCGTGTTATCGCATATCAGACGAGTTGGCGTTACCCAACGATAACCTACGACCCGAGGAGAGGGTCAAACTCAACGTTTTCGGGATGTCCTTGCCCGCGTTCGAGGCCCAGGTGCAACACCATCAGATTCAGGACTTGTTAAGGGATAGTAGCAATAGATTTGATTTGGTTGTCATGGAAATGACTTCGAGTCCCTATTACGGTTTTGCGTACTTGTTTGATGTCCCCTGGGTTGGCGTGCTGCCTCATTCCACAACTTTGGCAAGCGACAGGGATGTAGGCAATCTAAGACATCCCCTGTTGTTCCCCGATCCCACAGTAAAAAGTTATACGGGTCGGAATATTTGGATGCGACTGTATCTTGCTTTGGCGCAACTGAGACTAATTTACAGGTAGTTTAATAATCGCCAAGTTGCCCCCACATTATCTGCAGGGGTATTTCTAATCTTCTAAAGCATTTTTCTTATCTGCCAGTGATATCAATATTATTTTAGTTATGTAAGTAACTTCTTGACTAACATCCGCATGACGTAATATAAATAAAATTCTTTAATGGATAAGAGACATTTTGAAATTAAAAAAAATTATCTAAGGCTTCTACATTTCAAAACAACGTGGCCATTAGAAAGGCATGTTTGTACCACTAGAGGAGTAATTCGTTTATGTAATTACACTACTAGTTAATTGCAATTTTAATTTTAATAACTGAACCTATTAGCAACTAATATTTTTTGACGTAACGTATATTAAATCAGCAGTCAACTTTAGGTGTTTAGACATACAAATTACACAACAAATCAAACGATTATTTGTTTATATTTTTTTCTGAAAATGTTAAACCTTTGAACTTGGACCAGCATGTAAACGACTTTTAAAATTGATTCATGATAACTGATTGTTCGAAGTGTTGTTCATAATTTTATCAAAATTCCGCAAAATTATTCATGAATAGACAGCACAACATTTATGATCACAAGAATTTTCTAGTTGAATTATTTTTCTAGCAAAGAGTTCATAAGAATGATAATTTAATAATTTTACAGCATTGTCGCCATCATCATAAGGGCGTCAGTCCTAAGACTGGCTGGACACGCACCTCCACTCTTTCCTATCCTGACCTAATCTTCGCATTTCTCTAAAACTAGAACATCCCACGTTCTTAATTATTTACGAACATTAATCGTCTAGCTCTACCCCTCTTAAAACTCCTGTTTCTGCCTCTAATATGTCTCTGACTAGCCCTTCATGCCTGAGAAGGTGTCCTACCAATCTATCTCGTCTATTTCTTATTGACCTCCATACAGTCCTCATTTCATGTATTCTTTCTAATACCTCTTCATTTCTAACCTTCTCCACTCTGCACTCCTACCTTTATATTCGCTCTCTCCCTATTTTTTCTCCCCTTACATACCAATATTTTTGTTTTACTTTTATTTAACTTCATACAACACTGTTTTACAGTACGTGAAAAGTACAGCATTAATTAAATTGAAAATTTTGTTTCAGTTACGATTACGAAATCATGCCAGAGTTGGACAGGATCGCTAGAAAATACTTTGGAGATGACATGCCCTATTTGGGCGATATTGAAAAAAATGTGAGCATAATTCTCACTACCCACAATTTCATCACTTCAAAACCCAAGCCTACAGTGCCAGCCCTAATAGAAATAGGCAACGTACATTTGAAAAAGAATGTCAAACTGCCTCAAGTAAGTGACCAATAGAATATAGTCAATCAACTACCTAAATTTAGTCAAATATTTTTCATTCACATCATCCATTTTGTTTCAGGATTTACAAAAGGAGCTCGACAAAGCAACCAATGGAGTGATTTACTTTAGTTTAGGATCTAACGTTAAGAGTGCAAATATATCTAGTCAGTTACGAAATGTTATCATTTCAAGTTTTGCTGAATTGCCTTACACAATACTTTGGAAATGGGAAACCGACCATCTTCCAGGAAAACCTGATAATGTGATAACCAGGAAATGGTTGCCCCAAGAAGCAGTATTAGGTAGATATCTTATATTTCTTCCCCTACAGATTATAACTCATTTTACTATTTTTGGTTTTTTCTTGTGCAGCTCACCCTAATGTGAAGGCGTTCATAACACAGGGAGGGCTTCAATCTATGGAAGAAGCAATTTACTATCGCAAACCCTTGATTGGTATGCCTTTCTTTGCTGACCAAATGAAGAACGTAAGAAGTATAGCGGAGCATGGCATTGGGGTTGCACTAAATACGGACACTCTTACGAAAGAGAAACTGAAATCGGCGATATTAGAAGTCGTAAACGATAAAAAGTAAGTGCTTTTGTTAATAATACGTATCACTATTTGTCAAATTCTTAGAATTAGAAGGTAGAGGTAATTTAAAATAACGTGAACCTTTGTTTGGGCGCGCGATTGGTGTTCTCCTGAATGCTAAAAGTAATGTAAATCTCTTGCCATTTCGCTCGGTTTATATACGAAACAAAAAAGTAGAAGGGGAAAGTAGGCGTTACGTATAGCTGCGCAAATATGTTTACGCACTTATGTTGCTAGGAAACGAGTAGTTATAGGCGTTACCGTAGCTACTAATCTACGTATAAAGACTTGAAATACATTGATTTTTGTAATTTCTATTACAGATACAAGGAGAAAATTTCGGAACTGTCCGATCTAATGTGGGACCAACCGATGTCGGGTCTTGACACAGCCATTTGGTGGATTGAATATGTAATAAGGCATAAAGGAGCGAAGCACCTACGTAGCCCTCTTTTAGATCTACCCCTTTATCAGTATTTGTTGCTGGACGTGTTGGCGTTCGTGTTCGGCGTTATCGCAACGACTTTGGGGCTTTTATACGCGGCATACATCTATACAAAACCCGTTATTCAAGGAGTCGTAGGGAAAAATAAAGTAAAATCGAATTAGTTCACGTTATCATATTTTTCTCGAGATATCACACATCATTGTTATCATAACTGCATAGTCATCTGAATAGCTCGTAAATAGGCGACAATTTGAAGTCGCCCTGAAGTTTTATTGTACAGATAAGAGAGGCTTTCCGATGAAGAAAACGTCATTACGTACTGTAAATTATTGTATAAATACTTCACAGTGTANACCAAAAAGTGAAATTTTCGTTTAACTAAACATATTTTCAACTGCAGCCTGTTCTTGATAAAAACTGCATTTTTATTTAAAAAATACTAATCGCAACTTACATATTTAAAAACATGGTTGTTATTACCATACAATACAGGTTGTTTAGTGCATACAAATACGAATATATACATACATGTGCATATATAAATATGAATGGAAAAACATGTCTTTTACTAGAAGTTTCTCGGTACTCCAATTGATATCAATAAATTAGTCTTTTGGTGCACAATGAATATTCCGATACTTTTGTTAGTATTCCTGAAATTCGCCAGCTGTGCTAACATTTTAGCCCATTTTATAACGCCTTCGATGAGTCACCAATCGGTGTATCGAAATATTTGGAAAGAATTGAGTTTAAGAGGACACAAAATCACTGTAATAACCCCTTATCCTTTGAAGGACCCGCTTTTGGTAAATTTGACCGAAATAGATGTGAATTTTTCATACGAAATAATCAAAGAAGCAATAAATTCGAAAAAGTTATCGCAAGAACAAAAAATCGACGCAGAACGGCTCCTAAATGAAATAATACCGCCTGTGTTGGACTGTCAGTTGGAAGAACCTCGTGTAAAAGAAATTTACAATGGCGAGAACAATGAAACATACGATTTGGTCCTTGTGGAGATGATTTATCCTGTAGTGTACCCGTTGGCGCAAAAATACAGGTGTCCTTACGTGGGGATTGCTTCGTTTTCAGGTGCTAAAGTTTTCGAAATTGCACTGGGGAATCCTGCACATCCTGTCGCGTATCCAGATGTTTTGTTGGAGTACAGCGCAGTGGAAACATTCTTTCAAAGATTACATTCTACTTTCTTCGACATTCGAACGTATTTAAGGTAAATCTATGATTAAAATCTCACTATTTTTTATGCAGTTACTAAACTAAAGCAGGCCAAAACGTTTGTTAATATAATATAATANAAAGAAAAATTCAAAACTGAAATGTGGAAATCAAAAGTGTTTCATAGAAAATACCCGAACCAACAACAGCAGGAACATACACATATAGATAAAAAATCTTCTAATATGTGGTTAAAGAAAGGAAATCTATTCTCAGAAACTAAAGGATTCATGATAGCGATGCAGGACAAAATAATAAAAACAAACATTTCAGACATAAAGGGCTAGTTATAGACATATTAGGTGCACAAACAGGACTTAAAAAAGGGATAGTGGTAGATACCTAGATAAAACTACTCTTCACAAATGATTAAAGTTGCCAATTGTTCAAGTTGGTGTGGCGGACAATTGTAGATATTTCTTAAGCATTCTTTTTCATTATTTTACTTCTAATTTTATTTCATTTCAAATTTTATTTCATTTCAAATATTATTTCAATTTGCAAGGGCAACGTCTCGCAATATAAGGTAAGACTCGTGATTAAAAGTTGTGCTCAGAGAAAAGGCTTCGACTATGACGAGATTTTGTTCCAGTAGCCAGAGTGACTACTCTGAGAACGCTGCTTGTCGTAATTAATATTAGGAACCCCCACACCAGGCAGCTTAACGTCAAAAATGCCTTTCTCATTGGAGAACTTCAGGAGGAGATCTACATGAAGCAGCCCCTTGGTGTCTCCAAGCAATCCGACCTAGTCTGCAGACTTCGGAAAAGCCTGAACAGTAAGTTTCACCAGTTCGTCACAGATCTTGGCTTCACGCAATCGAAGCACGATCTTTGTCTCTGTTAACTTGACTGGCGACAAGAAGATATATCTCCTGATCTACGATGAGAAGGTACTTCTGCAGATAACGAGAAAACTTGGACAACAGTGCCGGATGAAAGACTTGGGCCAGCCCAACTTCTTTCTTGACATCAAGATCGAGAGAGATGCGACAGGCATGTGTCTCAGTCAACCGACTTATATCCGAAATCTGTTACAGCGCTTCGAAATTCTAACTGCAATGGAATCAACACTCCGGTGAAACCGAAATCACCGTCTGAAACGAATTCAGAGAGCATCATCGAGATTAGACCGTACCGGGAACTTGTTGGGTGCCGGTACCTAATAAGATCCACCCGACCAGACTTGAGCGCAGCGATCAACTTTTATAGTCGATTCCAAAGCAACGCTGCCGAGGCACAGTGGACAGGGTTCAAACGAATTCTGCAATACCTTCAAGCAACCAGAGATTGCTGCTTGTACTACCCCAAGGACAATCCTGAGCCACTGGTAGGTTACGCTGATGCTGATTGAGCGACCGACACAGACCGTAAGTCCATCACAGGCACTCGGTCAACTGGAAGATCAGGAAGCAGCCAACAGCCCCACTCTCCTCTACGGAGGTCGAGTAGGTGGCCCTGGCTAACGCGGGCAAGGAGTTTCTATGGTTGAAAGGGCTGCTCCAGGAAATGGGATTCCATTTCACCAAGCCAGTGACAATCTACGAGGACAAACAGGCCTGCATCCACCTGATCAAACGGTGGGACCACCGCCGGTTGAAGCACGTAGACGTGAAGTACAATTTCACACGAGACCTGCATGCTAAGGGTGAAATTGAAGTCAGGTCCATCCCTACGGCCGACCAGAAAGCTGACATCCTCACCATAACATTACGTTCGCAAAAATTGTATCAAATGTTTGAATGTATTTCTCGTTCACACGTTTTGTTTGAGGAGGAGTGTTGAAATAAACAATCAAAACCTTGTAGAAATCTTTATTACCGATATGTCATTAATGTAATTGATTGCCGAGAGTGTTATAATAAATTCTCGATATTTCTAACCTGGTTATAGCACGCATAAGCTGTATACTTGTGTTGCTCCAATTCTTTTTTTTTTTTTGAATAAACGTAACTGAACGGGAAACACCTGCCTTGTGTTTAATTGAACTTGCGCGGATTTTAACATCCTTTAATAATACAGTCCAATCTGCCCAACTTCTGCTACAATTCGGTTTTAAATTATGGCTCCATGTTTTGGTAACTCCAGTCAGTTTCGATAACTTGCCATTTATTAAAAAAAAAAATCTTAAAACACCCAATACACACCCGGACTTTTGTGAGTTAATTTCGCTCCTGAAAACTGTTGTAGTTTTGTCAAGGAAAAACGCCGAATTTGTTTGCTTCCAATATATTTATTTAATACGTGTGTACATTAACAACGATCGGGATGCTCTGTTTAAAAAAATGTGTTGCAAGACAGGTTATGACTCACACGCTGGCTGGAAATCACGAAGAATAAACATTCGGTAGTGATATTTATGACTGAACAATACAGATTACAACACAAGTATGAAGGTGTTAGGAGTAATGTAAGTATTGTTACGACGGAACTCCGTTAATGGTTCGAATAAACTTATGTCTGTCGCAGATCTTCCTTTCTA